AGGCTGGGCAGGACACGTCGTCCCCGAGGCCCCAGCCTGGCGGCCGGCCCAGACAGATCAAAACACGCTCCTCCCGGGCTGGGAAAGGGCCCAGGCGTCCGGCCTCACGGTGCCCCTGCTCCCCCCCTGCCCCAGGCGTCTGGCCCCCAGTGCTGACCCTAGCCCTGCTCCTCTCCCAGACCGGGCCCAGGTGTCTGGGCTCCCAGCCCCAACCCCAAGCCCCCGGTGCGACCCGCAGCCCCCGCTGCCCTCCCGGAGCTGGGGTAGACCCGGGGCGGGGGCGCCTCGTGGGGTGGAGGGCAGGGCGCATCGGGGGGTCCCAGTTGGAGCAGTGACCTCTGCCATAGCTGGGACCCCTCAGTCCCCACGGACCGGTCTGGCAGGCGGCGGGGGAGTGACCGGGCTGGGCAGGGCACTGGATGCTACCTGGGCAAAAGAGGGGGGCACATGGGGAAATGAGGGGGTCTGGGGTGTTGTTTGGGGGGTACTGGGTGTTACTGGGACAAGGGCGCTACCGCTAGGGTGGCCATCATAGAGGACAGTCCGGTTTTCTGCTACTCCGTCCTCCATTGATACGAAACCGGATGCCTTGGGTCCTCTTGAAGAGAAAAGCAGAGGACATCAAGGCGTCCGGTTTCGTATCAATAGAGGACAGAGGACAACCGGACTGTCCTCTGTGATGGCCACCCTAGCTACCGCCCATGGCCAGACCAAGGTGGCTGCCACGGAGCGTCATGGCTGCCGCGGGCAACTCCCAGATGGTTACCAACAGCTCAGTCGAGAGGGCACGGGGCACCGTTCCCCACCCGCCATCTTGGTATCGCCAGCATCTTCTCAGCAGCCGTCTTCTTTTAACCTGCATCACCCTGGCAGCCATCTTGTCACAGCCGCCAGCGGGAGAGGGAACCCCAACATGGCTTGTTAGTTGTGGGGGTGGCGTTGTCTTTGATGATGGCGATTGGGAGCAATGGAAAGGGAGGACCAAGACGGCGGGCCTGAGGGGGAATGGGATCAATATGGTGGCCTGGGAAGGGGGGGTTACAACACCAAAATGGGGCACTGACACCAAGATGGCAGCCGGAGCAGGAGCCATGTGGCACCACAATGGTGGCCCGAATGGGGGGGGCAGCACCAAGATGGCAACCTGAGGTGGGGGCACTGACACCAAGATGGGACCTGAGTGGGGAGGAAGCACCAGCATGGCGGCTGGGGGAGGTGGCATCAAGATGAGCGCATGAAGAAGGGACCTGGCACCAAGATGGCAGCCTGAGCGGGGAGGCGGGAAGGCACCAGCACCAAGATGGCAGCCTGAGGCACGGGGAGCCACGACGGCAGCCTGAGGAGGCATGTGGAGCCAAAATGGCAGCCTGGGGTGGGGGAGCATCCATCTCGTCTCTGCCAGGCGCTGACATGGCTGAGCTGGCCCAGAGCCTCGTGCCAGGCCCGGCCCCCCTCGCCCGGCGCCATGCTGGCTGGCTGTGGGGGCGCGGCCCTGCCTCCAGGGCACCATCTTGCTGGCGCCTGCCCCGTCCTGTGGGGGGGGGGGGGG